CCTTATCTTGTATGGTGGTTGTTGGCTTAAAGTCAATTTGATCAGAAATTAATATTGCCACTCCTGCTCTTTTTTGGTTGCCATTTGCTTGATGTATCTTTTTTCCAGTCTTTGATTTTTAGTCTTTGTCTCTAAGGTGTGTCTCTTGTAGATAGCATATTGATGGGTTTTGTTGTCTTATCCAATCTGCAACTCTCAGTCTCTTGAGTGGTGCATTTAATTCATTAATTAATTAGCCAATTGATGTCTTTAGTTCCCTGTTTACATTCTGGTAAGCTTATTTTACTTTGGATATTTCCATAGCTGTGTCAGTTTCTGGGTTATGTCATCTTGTGTATTAGTTGTTGGGTCTTGTTTGTTATTATTGGTTCTCTGCTCAAAGGATTCCCTTTAGTATCTCTTGTAACATTGGTCTGGTTTTAACAAATTTCCTTAATTTCTGCTTTTCTGGAAATCTCCTAATTTCACCATCATATTTGAGGAACAATTTTGCTAGGTACATAATTTTTATTGAAAATTTTTTTTCTTTCAGGGTCTTACATATACCATCCTATTGCTTTCTCACTTGCATGGTTTCTGCTGAGAAATCAGTGCTTATTCTTATTGGCTGTCCTTTGTAAGTAACTTTTCATTTTTCCCATGCTGCTTTCAGGATTCTTTCTTTGTCTTTGGTTTTGATGAGTGTGGTGGTTATGTTTGTGTGTCAGTTTGGCTGGGCCAGGTTGAGTGGGTGAGCAGCTGGTGGTAGTTATTCCCTATGAGGAGACTGGCAATCAGCTCCTTGGTGGGATCTACCACAAGCAGCTGAGTAGTTGCTTTGGGTATGTGGTCTGCTTCCCATATATAAGAAACAGCTTTGGGAATGGTCTCTAGCTTATGGAGAGACCCTGCATGTGGCCATGTCATTGTTCAGCAGCCTTCCATGCTCTGCTAATCTGGGGACTTATAATGGACTTGAATTAATGGCCTTCCATGTGGTTTGGTAACATTGGGACTGTGCCATTTTACTTGTCAAGCTTGGGCTTGGCAGCCTCAGTAGCCAGCAGCTGTCTGAGTGAAGAAAAGCCTTTAGCTTCAGTGGGCCAAGATTTGGAAGCAGAGCTGAAGCCCAAGGCTGAGGGGCTTTCACCCAGCCCCTAGAGCCTGGAACTTTGAACTTGGACTTAAAGCCTCCAAACTGTAAGAGAATAACCTCTTGTTTGTTAAGACCATCCCATTTGTGGTATATTGTCAGAGTGGGACTAGGTGACCAGAACAATGAATTTGATGATGATATATTTTGTTTTTCTTTTGGGGTCTATCCTGTTTGGGGTTCACTGGACATCCTGAATGGATAGGTTCTCATCTTTCACCATATCAGGGAAGTTCTCTTCCAAAAAATCTTGGACAATTTTCTCAGTGTTTTTATTTTTCTCTTCTTGTTCTGGAATTCTGATTACACATAGGTTATTCCTTTTGATAGTATGCCACATGAAACTTAGGCTTTCTTCATTTTGTTTAGATATTTTCTTCTGATTGATCCCTCTTCAGAGAAGTATTCAGGTATTTGTCTTCAATCTCATTAATTTTGTCTTCTATTGATTCAGTTCTACTCCTTTGCCTTTTCAATGTGTTATCTATCTCTGAAAATTTAGTATTAATCTTTTGGATTTCTATCTGTAGATTTTGTATCATTTCTAATTTTTCATTTATTTTATCATTTTGTTCTTGTGTTTCTTCTGAAATTGTTCTAGGGTTTTGTCTGTGTTTTGCATAATTTTGCCAGAGTTTTCCTTGGTCTGTCTCTCAATCCTTTGAAAATACATAAATATAATTCTTTTGAATTCCTTATCAGGGAGTTCCAATACTGCTTCCTCCTCAGGGATGTGTTCTGGGTCTGATCCTGCTCCCTTGTTTTTACCACTTTATCTTGCTTCTTTCTGTGGACTGTGATGGTCTGTTGTCTTGGAAACATTATTACATTGTTGTATTTAGATCTCTGTTAACTTTCCAGTTATTGGTGCCCACAATGTCCTTGTGGTTTCTGGCAAGTGGAGCCTATTCTTAAGTCCCTGGAATCTGGGAGAAGTTGTCACTTTAAATAGCCAAAGGGGTCCAACCACTTGTAAACATTCAAATGGCTGCACTCTCTGGACAGGAAAAAGTCCACAGCTCAGCCCACTGTCCTCTTTGCTGCTTCCCCTTTTATTCACCAGCCATCAGTGCAGTCTTCCATGTAGCCCCTGGCTAGCAGGAGCAATTTTTAGGTTAATTCTTAGGTCCTAAAACCACTTGGGGAGTTCTGGTAGCGTAGTGTCTAAGGCACTTGACTGCTAACCAGAAAGCTGGTGGTTCAAACCTACCAGCTACTCCTCACAAGGAAGGTTGTGCAATTTACTTCCATATGATACTGCCTTGGAAATCCAAGGAGGGGTCAGGTCTGACTTGAGGGAACATAACAACAGCAGCAACAACAAACACCACTGTGCCATCAGGATTGTTGATAGACCACAGCTCCATAAGTCTCTTTGTTTTCGTGATTTTATGCAAGTTCTTCTACTAGTTGGAGTTTAGTCCACTTCTGTATTCTTCCATTCAAAGCTCAGGCCTCCAGGATTATCTTCTGTATCTGTGTTAATTGGTTCCCCTTTTCTCTGTTGAAGAGGGTCTGTGCAGTCTTTCTACCTATTCTGCCATCTTACTGGAAATTAAATTTATATGTATTCTTAAAACCATTTATTTCAAATAGAGTAAATAAGCAAGAAAAAAATTAATTGAAATCACTCTGGATTAGTGGCTATGTATTAGGAAATCATGGAAGTTATTACAAACGTTCTATAATTTAATTTCTATAATATTCCATCAAGTACATTTTTAATTTTAATTTATTTTACAAATGAGAAACTGAATCCCAAAGAAAGTAATTAATTTGATAAGGGCCACTCAGTGGTTATATCATAACTTCACAAATTTTTTATCTGGCTTCAGAGTATAGGATTTTAACCATCCAATTACAATGTTCACTCTCTACACTAATGTGAGGGGATATTTTGTTCATGGCAACTGCAACAGCATCCTCATAATTAAGTGGGTTGGTCCCTGGAAGGCCCAAGCAGTTTTCATTCAACTGTTTAAAAAAAAAAAAAAAAAAATCCTGAGGATTTGCTTCTGTAAAGATTATAGCCAAGAATACCTTAGGGAATAGTTTTATTCTGTATCATATGGGGTTGCCATGAATCACAATTTACACATTGCATCAGGGTTTTTTTTTTTTTTTTTTTCCAATTTTTTTAATAAAATGGCTTAACAAATCATTATCTTTTTTCATTATCTATTCCTGCCTCCTTTATGTCTTCATGAATTCAGCATATTAGTCTATGTTTTATGGCATCTAAGATTTTCCCTAATATGTTCTGGCTTGTCCTACAGATCAGCATCTCCTTCTTCCCCACATACTTGGGAATTAGGATATTGCCTTCTCCCTGGAGGTGTTGTGCAGAAGAGAGAAGACAGATGCTGCAAAAACACAGAATTATATTAATCCTGCTTCTGCCACTCATTAGCTTTGACCCTGTAAGGGAAAAACTCAGTTTATAAACTCCTTCAGCCTCCTGATACAAATTTCTCTTATGATACTTTTAAAGTTTATCTGAAATAGTGTTTACATATGTACTACATTTATACTGTGTGTACATCCATAGGTATATGTGAATGTATGTGTATATGTATACAGTGAAATCTGTGAGAGCTGGAACTGGATCAGACTGCCTCATTTTTTCTGTGTCTTGCAAGTTTTCCACCGTGACAGAGTGTAGTTTTATCACTCTTTTTATTGGAAAACATTTTTCCTTTTCTGGCAGGTTTCTGCTTTTCAGCTTTTACAGGTTTTACTGTATGTTAGTCCCAAGCTAGAGACTTTAATTTTCATCCAGGATGGCCAAGATACTACTCTTCCTTCTCTGCAATTCTACAAATCTTGATGTGGGCTCTGTTCAGTAGTAGAGGCTCACCTACTTTATAATGCATCCTTCCCTGAGAATGGTTTGTCTTTGCTATCCTGATTATGTATATTTCTCTTCCTGAGTTTGAAAGTGATACAAAAGGAAAAAAAATGTGCATGGGGTGGTAAATGGAATGGTATGCGCAAATGTTTCACCTCAAGGAAAACTCCTAAACAGCAAAAGACTATCCCTCATAAAGGATAATCAATACCTTCTCTAACGGACAGATCATGGAAACTCATATTATCTGCAGACAAGTATTTGGACCTGGAAAATTAGACTTCATAGTCTACTTGCTCTCTTGAAGTGACAACATTTTTTTCCCCCAGGACATTGGCACAGCTTATTGTTTTCAGGAATAATGAAAGCAAATATTTATTCTTATAAACAAGATTCTTTCACAAGTGTGATTTACATTTAGTAAAATTTAGTTTCTTTAAAGAATTAGGTACAATTTTTAATACCAAACTTTATTTTAGGAAGACAAGATTAAGAAATGACAAAATAAGATTTGGAGCCATAAATTTCTGTGAACCAAAAATCCACTCTTGAAAAATGCATTGTTTGTGCACTTCCTTCTTTAACTCCCTGATGGTATGTCATTGTTAAATCTACACACTCTGGAGTGTTTGTTGTTTAGTGACAGATTCCTGTGAACTGTCCTAGGTAACATGAACAAGGATTGGAAGGCTTTGCTTTGTGAATTCTGTTAAGTGGCATTAGGTAATAAGGCAGAAAAAAGATAGCAGAGAAATTATAGAAGTACTTCCCTTTCCATAGGAAGGATTAGATATCTTTCTCTTATACAGATAACAAATATAAGCATTTTCTCCTAATGATATTGAGAACAAGATATTAGGAAGAATAAGATACAAAGCACCATTACATGTTTTGGAAGAATCAAAGACATTCTAAAGAAAAGAAGTAGAAAGAAGGAGACAATGCTGGAGATGAGCTCAATGCAGGAACTGAGCCCCAGAATAAGGCACTATACAGAAGACGGTCAGGGAATAAGAAGGTTCAGGAGTTTGGTGGACACAAGGTCATGGGGGCTGGGCAGTTGCAAGGATTGAAATATGGATACACACTCTGACAAAAACAACACTGAGAGTACTTGTAAATGAGTGACCCATGATTTGTGACATTGAAAAATGACACAGTGCCTGCCTCATAGTCTAAGAAAACCCCAACCCGATGAGGAGGTACAGCCGGGGAGAGAGTCAAAATCCGGACATCTGAGGAAGAAGAGTCCTCAAAAGCATTATATTCAAATTGATCCCTTAATCCTATAACCCAGTAGCCACATCGTGGTCTGTATCTGGCATAAATGTTTTGACGATTTACATTTGGGCCAAAAGCAAACAAAAAGGGCCTTCTTTTACTGGAGTTATTCATTCTACAGTATACCCCTAAGATCCAGGCTATCTTCTTGGACACATCTACCTCCCAGTAATGTTTTCCTGAGGAGAAATATTGGCAGCCCAAAACATCAAAAGCAGAAAAATCAGGTTGATTTGAATTTCTAAAGCTGCAAATGTGCTCAACTGCCACTTCTCTCTTATCTGCAGACACAACAACATTCGAAGGAGCATTGACTGGATTCAGTGTCACATTCACTGTAGGAAGAATTACAGAGTAAGGTGAAGGACATGGTATAGGTGAGCTTTATAACATTGTGAGGAGGAATATTGGGAATTCACTGGAAGGAACTTGTATTGATGGCTCAGAGATGGGTACCACAAAAACAATGCAACGCACTGCTGTCGAGTCGGGTCCGACTCATAGCAACCCCACTTTGGTTTTCCGAGTCGGTATCACTACAGAAGTAGATCGCCCAACCTTCCTTCTGAGGAGTGGTTGATGGATTTGAACTGCCAGTCTTCCGGTTAGCAGTCAAATACCTTAGGCACTACGCCACCAGAGCTCTCAGGGATGAATAGAACACTTAAAAATGGATGTTTGAGGATGTGTGTATTTGGAGAATATAAAGGGCTCAAATCATGGGACCTAATTGAACACAACTTCTTAAAGGGGATAAGAACATGGTGATATGACAACCCTTTTAAGTTCTTCTTACCCCAGTAGCATTGGACATCTGTCAGCTCTGAAATGACAAAAGTTTCAGTGATATTGATTAGAAGTACAGGAGTTAGAACCGATTCTTATCGCCTCTCTAAAACAGGGGCAGAGGAGGGGAATAATGTGAGACTGTGAACTAGTGCGTGAGAGGATGAACCAGACTCCTGACCATTCCCCCTTAGATATGAGATCTCTTTAGCATAGGATACTGCTCCTTCTCTAGTCTTCTTCCCCTCCTCTGTCTTCACCTAGAATCTATACCTTGTCCACCATTTAATCCCTGACATCAAAAAAATCCCACACTACACCTCTATCCCAGTTCTCACCTCTAAACACTCGCAGAATCTCCTTCAAATCTGGAGCTCGGAAATCACTCTTCAGTTTCTTGGAAATGATTTTTGGCTTCTTCAGGGTCCATTTCTCACTCCTAAGCATAACAAAAATTGACACCCAAGCTCTCTGACCTATGTCTCTCCAGCACCACTGGCTCCCTCACCTATTATCGACCTTATGCACTTTAAGCCTCTTCCCTGGGGAGCCAGAGAAAAAGAGAGGGGAGACTGCTGACACTAGAGCCAGAACACTTGTGCTTATGCCTACCTTCCCACTTACCCTCTTTGTGACTCTTGGTAGGTCTTTCTTTCAAATCTCCTTCTTCTAAAATGTAACAACTGACCTTTCACTCTCTACCTTTTAAAAATATTATAAAATTAGGTGAAATAATGTTGTTGTTGTTGTTATGTGCCATCGAGTCAGACCTGACTCATAGTGACCCCTCCTTGGGTTTCCAAGGCAGTATCACTACGGAAGTAGATTGCCCAACTTTCCTTCCAAGGAGTGGCTGGTGGGTTTGAAGCCTTCTGGTTAGCAGTCAAGTGCCTTAGGCACTACGCTACCAGAGCTCCAGGCAAAATAATAGTGCTTGTAAAAGGTATTTGATGTCTCTAAAGAAGCAATGTGATATGTGCAAAAGATATTGCCATTTCAGTGAGCCCACCAGTGAGAGTCCAGAGGTGTGAGTTCCCAGGGAGATGGTCAGTAGGGAGGTTGAAGTATCTGGCTACTGAGAGGCTGAGAAATATCAAGTTTGAGGTTCCTGTAATGACAGGCCCAAGGATCTCCAAAGCCTGTTACTCCAGTATGAGGGCCCAGAGTACAACACCTGATGCTTCAAAGTCTCTGAGGAGCCATTACAAATATTTAGAAAAGGAGAAATTATGACCTCTAAGTTAATTGATGTTAGTTCCCATTGAGTCAGCTCCAATTCGTAATGACCCCATGCACAATGAAGTAAAACTCTGCCTGGTCCCGTGCATCCCCATGATTGGTTGCAGGTCAGACTATTGTCATTCATGGGCCATTCATTAGCAGAGTTTTGGAAGTAGGTCACCAGGCCTTTCTTTCCAGTCTGTCTTAGTCTGAAAGCTCCTCTGAAACCTGTCCAGCATTATAGTAACACACAAGCTTCCACCAATAGACAGGTGGTTGGCTGCACACGAAGTTCACTGGCCAGGAATTAAACCTGGGGCACCCACGTGGGAGGTGAGAATTCTACCATTGACCCACCAATGCCTCATCTCTGAATGTCATGATGTGGGGAAGACCTTGGTAATACTACGTACATGGTCAACTGTAGACACAGGATACCATTTATCTTATAGGATGCTAAAGTATGTGAATAAGAAGAGATTAATTACTGGCATCAGTGCCAAAGCCACTTATTCCCCAACACTTTATATTTTGAAATCTAAAGAAAACACCTAGAAAGATCTTATTTCTTCTATTCCCAGGGAATAGTCTCTTTGGACAATTTTGAGCCCTGGCATATAAAGATGTTTCTTGTGATAAGACAAACCCACTGCAATAGAATTGATTCCTGCTCATAGTGACCCCCATTGGGTTTCTGAATTTGTAAATCTTTATGGAAGTAGATTGCCTCATATTGCTCCTGTGGAGCAGCTTTTGGGTTTGAACTACTGACCTTTTGGTTAGCAGCCAAATTCCTTACCCACCACACAACCAGAGCTCCTTTGTGATAAGACAACCACCTAGAAAATGTAGAAACCAGCGCTAAGGCAGAGACAGAGATGTAAATGAAGTCAATGCCATCATGGTGCTTTGATAGTGCAAACTTTTATCCCTAATGTCCTTCTTGGCCCTAACTGTGACCTCCACCACCCAAATTTCCTACCACTGGAAACCCTTATCTGTGATCAGCAATTTGAGATAATGCACTATCCAAATTTTTCAGCCTTGTGATTTTTTTTTTTTTAAATTCTGATTGATCACAAGGTAACTCTCAAAACTATAATTCTCTCTTTACACTGAAAAGGATCGTTCTGCTTTCCCACACATACCTTCTCATAAAGTCCATCATATCCTGGGGAAAAGAGAAAAAACATGAGTGAAGGACAAGGTTGCAATATTTAGCAAATAAAAATACCAAATGGCTAGCTAGCTACATTTCAATTTTGGATAAAGAATTTTTTTTTTTTTTTTTTGGTAATATTAATAAGTATGATCCCTGGAGTTAGAGAAAATCTGATGGCAACTAATAACAACATGACCTCTGCAATATTTAAGACACACTTATTCTGAAAAATGTATGTGTTTTTATTCTGAAATTCTAATTTAACTGTGCACCCTTTATCCAGCAACCCTTAGTGATAAGCACTTCACCTTAATGTTTTACCTATCCTCTTCATTAAACAGCCACCTCCCTTGGTTAGTTACAGTGTAGTGGGTAAAAGGGAAGGATAAGACCCAGACAGAACACTCCAGAGAACTTATGTGAGGGTGTTTGATACCCTAAAAGAAAGAAAGAAATAAACAAAAACAGCTTTGACCTTTACAAATACAGGAACATAATTCAAGTATTTGGAGATGGGATATATTTAAAAGGAAGACAACAGGCCCACTATCT